TACTAATAAATAAATATACTAAATATACTAAAATATACTAAATAACTATACTATTAAAATAAATACAAATAAGAATAAAATAAAATAAAATAGTAAGAAATTATGAAAGTAGAGGAAACCCATGGTAACAGCGTCCTAAATCCCAAATGATTTGGGATTTGAACAACACGTATAATATCTGGTAATATATCAAAGCATTAAATAATGAAGCTCATAGTGTCAAATTGATAGTATATCTAATAATATATTAAAGTATCTGATGATAAGGCATGTAATGCCGAATTGTTAACAATTATTAGTTTTGTATAATTCATTTAAATATCACCTGATAATGAAGTATGTAGTGTCAAATTGTTAACTGTTACAATTCATTTGAATATCACCCAATGATGAAGCACTAAATATCAAATTGTTATCTTTACTCAGTAACCCATCAAAACATAATTTTATTATATATATATCTGTAATAATTTTACCTTGATGTTTTACTTTTTTTACTTGAAATAATACTTATTTGGTAATTCATCAAAGCACAATTTTATATATCTTTTATCTGTAATAATTATTCCTTGGTAACTTACTTTTGCTTAAAATATTACTTATACTAAAAAATCTTTGATGTATCATCAAAGTATAATTTTATATATTATATATATACTCTATTTTGAAACATTAACATTTTACTTTTTTTTATTTGAAATATTACTTATATCAAAAAATCTTTGATAATCCATTAATATATAATTAAGATTTATCACATTTGACCTATCAAAGTACAATTTCTGTACATAGTATAGTTTTACTTTGGTGGCCCAAAAAATATATTACATTTGATCCATCAAAGAGCAATAGTATAACTTTCCTATAATAATTTTACTTTGGTGACCCAAAATTTTTCAGTATAAGTTATTTCTACTAATACTATTTGAAGCATACCACATATGTATTACATTTTACAATATGATTATTTTAACCTATTATTTACTTAAAACTATCAAAATTATACAACACAAAAATAGTCATTGAATATCTCATATATTTTATAACATGATCACTTACCTTATCCTATATATTAAATTTTTAAAACTGTACGGTCTTATAAATTTCTGTGATTTATCTTATCACCTATATTGAAAGTACTTACCCAGAACTTTATTTTGATCAAAATTCTATGACACAAAAATTTTCTTTATATGATTTATATATTGAAGTATTAATTTTTTATTTGAATTTTTTTCTACACTTATTGTAAAAGGTAACAAAAACCTTATACCTGAGATGAATAACTAGTTAAATGTAGTAATCTCTCTTTTTCAAAATTATTACTTAATTAGATAATATTATTTTGATACCTTATACTTATTTTGTTAAAAGATTTATAACAATTATACATATTCAATAATTACTAAAGATTTCTTTTTTAACTCTTTTTTATATAGAGTAGTGGAAATACCCAATTTGCTTCAAACTTTTATTTGTAATTCAAGAAATCTGACTCACTCATATTCTCTCATTCTTTTTTTCAGTAATTATGCTCATCCTGCATTTCAAAAGCAATCTTAAATCTCCATTATTCTAACTTTTCTTGAAACATTTGAAATTTTTACTGTAAAAGAAGGATATGGATTTTTATATCAGATTCATTTTTGATAAGAAGTTTTGAAGATAAAGAAATTGCTAAAGACAAACATAAAGTGACTAAAGATTTAGATATTTTTTTCTCAGTTATACTAGTTTCATCAATAGTAATATTAACATGATATATATTTTAAGTATGATTCTCTTTATATTCACTTATTTTATTTGAATCAATTAATTAATCTTGAGTTGACATTTCTAAAGATAAAGCTTTTTTATCAATCAAATTATTATATAAGTCAAAAATTTTATATTCTGTATATTTTGAAGTAATATTATTAATAATAAGTATAAAATCAAAAAGATCTTAAGTTTCATTAATTAATTTTAATTTATATGATAAAAAAATTGAAGCTATAGAAAAATATTTAGAATTATTCACCTTTATAGCTATTATTTCTTCCTAAGTTACAAAACTGGTTCCATCATATGATTTGCAATAAATCCAATAAGTGTTTTTCCATATTCTTTGATTTTTTGGTTCTTCTTTTCTTTGTTCACTCCTGATAGTATAACTGTACCAATTACCTAGTATTGTATTAATAAATTTTATTGTAGTATTAAGATCAGGTATTCCTTTAGCTCTGGTTTTAAAGTTAAAAAGTAACAATGCATTTTCTTGAATTTTGATAATTTTTTCCTGTGATTATTTAAAAACTTTTATCACATCATCATCAGAAAGAATATTCATATCATCTATATCTCTAAAACTTATTGATTGAACAAGATTATATACTGTTTTCTATTGTTTTATCAAATAAAATTTATACAAATTAACTGAGAATAGATCCATAGATTTATGTGAATCTTCCTACTACATTTCTTCTTTGATTTTTAGATTTCTATAGAATTTGTTATATTTGAACTTTGTCTTTTGAAATATGCCAGTCTTTTAAAATATTGTAAAGGTTCAGAATTATTATATCTTTTCACAAAATCTATGTCACAAAGTTTAACCCAATCATCATTATTCATATTCCAATTCCAAATATCATCTTTACTTCTGATATCACTTGAAACATATGTTTACTATAAATAATGACATTGCAAAGTTATATTATCAGCAAAAGAACATATAGGATTTTATTTAAAAATCTCAACTTCATAAGGACTAATATCTGAAGTATTAACTATTAATTCTATATTTACACTTTTAATTTTTTTCTCAATATTTTTAATAGTATAAGAAATTTCATTCTTGTTAACTTTTTCAATATCTTCTGTCAAAATTAACTTGAGTATTACACCAGTACTAGCAATAAGACTACATAGAATTTTAGGAAAATATTTAACAGATAAACATTTCTGATATTCAATCTCAATAAAAATCTCTACTGCTGAAGATGAATCAAATATATAACAATCAATAATTTTGTCCCATTCACAATGTTCTTTTATAATAGTTGATAAATCTTCAGGTCTCAAGGCAGAGAATTTAACATGAATAAAATTACAATTTGGTTCTTTAAAGATGTTAGGTTTTTTACTATTATAAAGAAAAATAGTATGATGTGAACAATCACGTACTCAATAAAACATTTGTACAAAAGTTTTAGCATGTACTTCTGTATTAATATTGTTTATTCCTATAACTTCATTAAAATAATTGAAAATTTTAAAAAAAATATTGGTTTCCACAATACTGTATAAACTATCTAATCAAAAGTATTTCAAGTAGTATTAATATCAGCAAAGTCTTCTTAACACTGTTTTCTATCTATTTGACAAAAATAAATTAAAATACATGAGTTATCTGATTTTAATAACTTAGAAATTTGAATAGCTATAGTTCTAACTTTTTTACATAAGGTAACTGAAAAGGTAATATGCTTACCTTCTTGAAGTAACTTAAAACCTTTACATATAGTCTCTAATCCTTTATCTAGATTATAAAGAATTTTTATAAATTTACCTTTATATAGCTAATACTTATTATCAAAAACTCATATATCTTTACCTCAATATTGTCTTAAAAGGTTTAAAATAAATTCATTTACAAAAGCATCTATATCTAAAATATAAATAGCTAACTTTCACATAACATTTTTAGATTCTCAAGCATGAACTTTACTATTTATTTAGTACATAATATATACGTGTTGTCCAAATTACTAGTATTTAGGATTTGGGATTTGGGATTTCAGCAAAAAATACTAATCTTAATTTGGGATTTGGGATTTTGGCATTTGGGATTTTGGCATTTGGATTTTGAATTTGGGTGGCAGGTATAACATAATAGTATTCACTTCATCCAAGATAATTACATAAGAATATCCTCCATAAAAAGAAAGATGATATATACTTTTAGTCTGAACTATACATTGTTGACTGTGATTACCTTTACTAAGCATGATTAACTAATAACTGATAACAGAAAAACTATTGTTCAAAAGATCACAAAGCAATTGGACGAATATGTTACAGTTAGAAGGTTTTATACTTGAAGAGATATAAGGGGTAAAGGATTTGAGGTTGTGGATTTGTTCAAAAGAGGCTAAGGTGTAAGGATTTTTAAAGGGGTATGGAGTTTTTATACTAAATCAACAAATATTCATACAGAATATTATCAGTTTCACACAAAAACTACAAGAATTCACACAGAATTAATATAATTAACTAAGATCACGAAACAAGATTAATTATAGTCAAAATAATACTGAGATCACGAAGCAGAGTATTATTTATCAAAAAGTATTTCACTAAGAAATCAAAAGTTTCAAATTATTATTTGTCACAAAGATTTTTATTAATAATTTATTACATATATCAAGTTCAGAATGTATTCAAGTTCTAACTGTCCTAACTCTAAGAGTAAAAGCTATTTCTATTTATATAAAATTGTCATCCTTTCGTGAGATTATAATTACTAATTTCAAGAAAGCTCCAGAAATTTCCATAACATTTCAGGAGATTCTTTAAACTATTTTTGGCTAATGAGTTATTTGTGCTAGAGGTGTTTACCAGAGGTTTCGACCAGCAGTGTTAACCAAAGGTATCAATCAGAAGTGTCGACCTCGCATTATAATAAAAATGATCTATATCTGTTACTCGTAAATAATAGTACTAATATAATGTTATACAAATAAAGAAATTTAACTAATAAACTAATATAATAATGCTAATAAATAATATATATAAAAATTAAGAAATAAGGTTAACAATGTCAAAATTTCATCAGAATTCTGTAGATTTTTGTAGGTCTCATAATATTACGGAAATTTAACATGGTATAAATTTTCAAAAATTTTTGCTTATTAAAATTTTTTGATGTTATTACCTAAATTAAATATTTTTTAAATATATTTTAAATATATTTTAATTATAAAATAATAATATTTTAAATAGTTTTTTATTGTAACAAATCTACTAATTTGTTTTAGAAAATAAATATTAATAAATATTTATTAGTGAAGTTTGTGGTTTATAATTAAATTATTTTTTATTAATTATATGTTATATTTATATAAAAATATATAATTAGTGTTACATAATATAAATATATAATAAATAGTATCTTAGGTCTTACAAGATCAATTCGGATGGTTACATATGATAATTAATAAATAAAATATAATAAAAGAAATAAAATAGAATAAGATAAATGATTA